GAAAAGGAAGGAGATGTGACTGTGGATGAGCACTTGGGTACTAATACTCAAGGGGAACCATATGTGGGAGTTGGAACCTCAACTGAGAGGAAACAAGAACCTAATTGAGGAGATAGTGGAAGATATGCTAAGTCCTGATACACAGATAGGACTTGTGGAGGAAGACAGGGCACCAACTAATGACCATGAGTCTGCACTTGCTCCCTTTGACTGACAATGAAGCAGTAAAAAGGGATGCAACTGGTGGTGAAGATGCTTAGACAAATCAGGCACCAGTTCTTAACCCTGTGTCTGAACTTATTTCCTTTTCTGTTAATGAACCAACTCTGGGAGAAGAGAGATCCCAGGGTCAAGATGACCAACCAGTTTTAATCTAGTAGATCAGGATGTGGATGATGTGCCCCCAGTATTCGTATATAGGAATAAATAAGGGAAGAAAGGAAAAAAGAGGGACCTAAGAACTAGATTAGGTTCCCCTCCAAAGACCCCAAAAAGGATAAGATTAATGAGGGAACTGGAGAACTAGTTAGAATTGAAAAGGAAGGAGATCTTGCTTCCAAACCTCCCCGGCAGAAGCCATATACCAATAGAAGCAAGAAGCAGGCTGAGGTTACATATCTTGAAATAGCTTTAGAGATGGAGGAAAGGAAAAAGAAAGCTATATGAATCAAGCATTGTTGGATATTAATTTGAGGTTCTTGAGGTTTTTTAAGGCCAAGGTGTTGAGAGGAAAGATAATCTCCGCTGTCAATAGAGATGGAATGACAAAACTAGTCAAAAGTGGAGAACAAGGGTGGAAGACCCTGTTTCTAAAATAAGACAGAAGATTTTGGCAAGAAGTAGTGGAATTCTTTATCCACTGCAGTGCAGTTGAAAGAGTCATAACAAGCACGTCAAAAAGTAGACATGAAATCAATGCTCTTCACATGACCTATATGGATCTACTGGAGATGGAAGAAAAGATTAACTTGCTTGGGGTAATGATCAACCACATACCTAGAGCGGCAGATAGGTCCAAGAGTGAGCACTCTACTCCTTATGAGTTCTTTTTGTCTGAGATAATTGCTTACTTTAGAGCTCCTGTCAGCAAGTAGAAATCTGTAAATATGCTGGATGAGTTTGGGGAAGAAATTCTGAATAATTGTGGGTATAAAGAGGAGGCTGAAGAGGAATATATTCCTGCTGGTGGCTTTCCTGACAGTGCTAAAATTTCAGAGCTTCAATAATAAATATTGGCCCTATTACAGTTAGTGGAGATACAAGTTGCAGAGATTGCTAGAATAACGAATGGCAGTCAAAAGCTGGAGGACGACTTGACTAGAGAAAGGGGGTAGTGGCACATCTATAGTCCTCTGGTCCCACTTCTATTCTTTATGTAGTTTTCATTCAGTTAAACTTGTTTTGTAGCCATGTAATTAACAATTATGAATTGGTTTTTATGGATTGATGATGATGCCTTAGCTAATTTACAGTTTTTGTCTGGTGATTCCTATCTTGCATTAATATTTCTACTTTTTGATGGCTAGCATCCATAGAGTGATTGTTCTAGATGTCTTTTACTTGATTGAATGTTGTATAGCCCTAGTGGCCATAAAACTACTAGTTAACCTATTCTATTTTTTCAATGATGCCAAAGGGAAAGTGAATATTTTGGTTCGTGTTCGTTGTTTGCCATCATTAAAAGGGGGAATTTTTGTTGGAAATTGAGTTTTGATGATCAACAAATATATTATCTGTTGAGGCTTAGCCCTTAGGTCTACTGGTGATTCTTGTACAGCTCAGAGTCCTAACGAGAATGGAATTCACTTTCGCACAAGACAAAGATGTATCTATACTATGTTGACCAAAAAGCTATGTGATTACGTCAGAAAATCTTGGCAGATCTTTTTTAGGTCAGGTTTATGCCAAGATTTACGGAAGTACTAGTGGAAGTAAATTTTACTTCTTTAGAAGATCGAAGGAAAATCCTTTTACTTCCTTTATTTACTAGGGTTAGGAGATTTGGTACAACTTGATTAACACTTTTCTATTCCTAGTCGTCTATTTAGTGTAACTTGGTTAACACTCTTCTATTCCTAGCCGTCTACTATGTATCCGTATGTATAGGACAAGTTTATTTTGGCAGAGGTTGCGCACCTACACACAAATCTGAGAGATCCTTTTTGTGAGCAGCAACTTTGCGAGAACCAAGAGCAAGACAAATTGAAGAACACAATTCTAGAGACTAATTCAAGTATGGTTCGTTTTTTCTTGATCTTGTAATAGGTATTTTGAGTTGTAATTTTACACTTGCTTGTATTAGAAGCTGTTTATAAGAACTTTTGAGCGGCCATCTTTTGTTCTAAACTAAAATATTAGTTTGGAGTGAGTATCTGCGATCAATTTGATTGTAGGCTAGTGAGTGACTAGATTTAGTCACTTATGTAATAAAAGAGTTTTGTAACCTGAAACTACTCGTCGTTGTTAGCGAAGTTTGTGAGAAAAATCCTAGAGTTGGGTTCGTGGTTTTTACTCCCTTGAGTAAGGAAGTTTTCCACGTAGGATTGTTGTTTTCTTTATTTTTCACATTTATTACAAGAATTACAAGAATCAGTTTAACAACCAGGTTCTGAGGAAAGTGTAAACTTCTGGTTGAGAATTCTAATTGGTCGATACACTATTTACTCCTCCTCTAGTGTATAAGTGGTGTATAAGTTTACCAGGCAGGAGGTAGGTCAAGGGGCTGGGGATGGCGGGGTTTAATATGGGGTGGCGGTGTGGACAGGGAGTATTGAAAGTGAGTTTCAAAAAAAATTGTTTTAGTAGGGAAGTTATTTTTCTGAAATTGAAGGAAGAGGAGTTCATAAAGATAAATTTTTTTAGAATATTTAATTCAGCCAAATATGAAAAATTTGAAAAATATTTTTCAGATAAGGTTTTCCTCCCTATCAAGCACACCCTATATGTGTATCTCAATACCAACACAAGATTATATTGATATGTAATGTCTAGATCCTCTATTGCTGTAAATTAATTTTTATCTATCTAAAAATTATAACTTTATCTATCTGAATTTACTTGCAAACCCCTAGAAACATTTAAACTAATAATGAATCTCAAAGTGCTCTAACGAAAGTCAAAAGGATTCTTACATTCTTTCACATAAGTGCTCATCATGTTAATAGAAAGTGTAAGGAATTCCGAATCAAATACTTTTTGTGCAAATGGGAAGATGACAAAGGAGTCTACATTTGACGACTTTGGTCGCTTCTTTTTGTTGTCAAATCATTCCTCCTCTGACCTTTATGGTATAATTAGACGAAGTGAACACTAATGATTACAGTGCAGTAAAGAATTCCTCATTATAGTTATGCAAATAATAAATAAAAAACTCTTTGAAGCTATTGGTATTTTGCCTTAAGTCAACAATATGCTAATGACCAGCAGAGTGTCTTTCATTATTGCTAAATCAAATTTACAGAAACCAAGATTACAAAAAATTTGGAATTAGGATGCTTTTGTAAAACGGTGGAACCTTGATTCTTAAAGAATATAAAGAAAGTTAGAAAGAAGAAAAGAAGCTCAAACAATATTTTAGGAATCAGCACTATATTTTCAGAGATATTTGGGTACGACACAGTCTCATATTAAAAGTTATTAATGAAAATAAATTGTATATCAACTACAATGCAATACACTAACATTGTTAATGATTGCAGGTTACTCCTCCTACAGCTAGATAGCCCTTCTATAATATCCATCTACAGAGAGTAGAATTGTGTTGTAGATACTTTAGCTAAATATGGATCCATCCATGCACAGGAGAAGTGCAAACTTTTTGCGACACCACCATCTTTTGTCGAGTCTTCATATCATAAAGATTGTAGTGGTATATTACAAAGGAGGCTTGTTCCAACAAATTCTAGTACTTCAACACAACTGCACTCTGCTATAAATAGTTTGTGTAATAGTAGTGGTAACTCTATTTCTACTGGTGTAGCATCTACTTTTCATTTTCAGTCTACTAATGCTTCCAGGAAGCTTTGTTGTAAACCAGGAAGCTTTGTTGTAAACCCTAGCTTAGCAACTATGATGCCTCTTATGCATCTACTCAGTTCCCATGTATCTGTTTAGCTTATCTATAATATAAGTACATCCTTTTGACCCAAAAAAGTAAATAAATAAATTGTATATAAATTGCAGTAATAGTTTTAAAAGTATGAGACTGACTTTTCAAGAAAAATTAAGTGAATCTGATCCAAAAAGAATATTATTGTATTATGTTAAGAGTATCTTTAGACCGTTACTGTCAAACGGATGATGCATCTTGACTTAACTTTATAGCGGCTAAGAGAAAGGCAAAAGGAGAATAATTTTATGTTGAGTAAACACGAGCACACACTTTTATACCATTCACATACATTTGGATGCAAACGGTTCGTGTATTGCTGCACTAGAAATAGACCATTCTACAAGTAGAAAGTGACGTTGGAGTCCTATTTGGCCCATCACTTAATGAGTGGACTCAGCATCTCTCTCTCACTGTCATGACTCATGATACACTGAGTATTTTTTAACCCTTGTAACAAGAATTATAAGTAATAAATATAATAAGTTCACAAAGATCTCAAATATACTACTTCTTTTGTCCCAATTTATGTGATGGTATTTGACTTCACACTAAGTTAAAAAAAAGACAATAATTATTGAAGTTAGTGATAAAAAGAACTATAAATATTTGTGTGATAATAAATCATCTCATTAGAGATAAAATAAAAAAATTAAAAGTTAAATTATTTTTAAATTTAAAAAGTATTTTTTTTAGGACCGGCAAAAAAGAAAAGAATATAACGTAAGTACCATACAAGAATCTATACTCAGTTACCACCTACACTTGCCTTGTGTTGTGTCGAAAAAAGAGTGGTCCCCTACGTGTATAACCATCACAAGTCTCCCCACCACCAACAGCAGCCACCAACAGTGTCAAGCACCATCAACAAACAAACATTTTATTAACCCCACTATCTCCCTCGCCTAGGACCTCCCTTTCCTTCCTCTCCTACCAATAAATAACACAAGAACACCCCCATGTGATGTTTCTATTAAGAGGTTCCGCCACCATATTTCTCAACTTTCCTTCTTTCTTTTCTTTTTTTATAGTAGTATAGCTACTCCGTACTTGTACTAATACCAACATGAGATATTTCAGAATTTGATGCAAATAACATTATATATATTGCTAGTACTTTGTTGTCAGCTCTTTTGTGGTAGTAACTTTTACTCCTATATTTTATGCTTTCTTGATACTACTAAGTGACATTTCAAGAATTCCGTACTTTGTGTTCACGGTTACCCCTACAACAACAACAAAGTACTTTCTATTTTAATCTACCGGAGATGCCAACGCCAGTTACTAGTGCCAAGCAATGCTTGACACAAGAAGCAGCCATAACCCTCGACGATGCTGTGGCTGTGGCAGCTCGTCGCGGCCACACTCAAACTACATCTCTTCATTTCATATCTTCCTTATTATCTCTTCCTTCTTCATGTTTACGTGAGGCGTGTTCGCGTACACGTAACAATGCGTACTCTGTACGCGTCCAATTCAAAGCTCTAGAAATTTGTTTAGGGGTGTCAATGGACCGGTTGCCTTCGTCGCCTAACAAGATCGACGATCCACCTGTGTCGAATTCTCTCATGGCTGCCATAAAGCGATCTCAAGCGAATCAGAGACGACAACCGGAGAATTTCAGTTTTTATCAGCAACTGCAACAGCAGAATCAGTCAGCTTCTTGTTCTTCAGTTCCAGTAGTCAAAGTTGAGCTGCGGAATCTCATAATTTCTGTACTTGATGATCCTGTTGTGAGCAGAGTATTTGGTGAAGCTGGTTTTAGAAGTTGTGATATTAAGCTTGCTCTTCTCAGGCCTGTTCATCAACTCTTCAGATATTCAAGATTCAGAGCACCACCTATGTTTCTGTGTAATTTAAGCAGTCAAACTGATTCGTATAACCATAGTTTTAGCTTCCCTTTCTTGGGTTTTAGTAGCGGAGAAGATGATTGCAGGAGAATTGGGGAGGTTTTTATCAAGAATAGAGGAAGAAATCCACTGCTTCTTGGTACTTTTGCACATGGTGCTATGAATAGTTTCTTGGAAATGGTAGAGATGGAAAAAGGAGGAGGAATTCTTCCCCTTGAAGTATGTGGATTGAGTGTGATTTCTATTGAGAATGAGATATTAAGGTTTGTTACAGGGGAATGTAATGAGGAATTAGTGAAGTTGAAGTTTGAGGAGATTGGAACTATAGTGATGCATAGTATAGGGTCTGGTCTTGTTGTCAATTATGGAGATTTACAAATTTTAGCAAGAGATGATTCTTCTATTGATTCTTGCAGGTATATAGTTAGCAAATTGACAAGTTTATTAGAGATTTATCATGGGAAATTATGGTTGATTGGGTGGGTGGAGAGGTATGAGATATATTTGAAAATTTTGAATAGATTTCCTTGCATAGAGAAAGATTGGGACTTGCAAATTTTGACAATCACTTCTTCAGGACCTCCTAAGGAGGAATCATTTCCCAGATCCAGGTAAGCTGAAAACTCTTTCCAATAGATGTTCAGTTAAATCCTTTAAAAGAAAAACAAAACAAAATGGACCTATAGAGAGGGCAATTGGTATTTACATTACTCACCCAATTAATTTAGAATTGAGGCATAATTGATTCACAGATGGATGGTGTAAGAATAAAGAGTTGTTATTTTTGGTTAAGGAACTTAGATTAATTTTAATTTGTCTTGGTGAAATTACAAATTTTCTAAGGTAAAAGCCAGAGGATGGTTGAAAAGACAGAAGACTAATAGAAGCTTAACAGGACGATAGCTGACTCTTGGTGAAATATTTTTTGTTGTTGTATTTCAGGAGCTTTTCTAAAGCGGGCAGATTTTATGAAAAGAAAAAATATAAATTTGCTTATGTACTATCCGAAATTGCTAGATTTTTTCTTTGGTTATACTTTAAGTCCATTTATTACCTTGTTGTTAGAAAATCATCTCGTACTTACCTTTGTTATTAAGTAGCTCCAGCTTAAAATGGGTGGACTACATTTGTGTCAAAATTTTTTGAGGAAAAAAAAAACTAAATTTATCCCTTAACTTTTAACTATGGCTTAAAATGACTCTCATGTAGGAGCTCTATTAGGAGTCAAAAGGCAAAAATGAGATTATTTTTTTCCTAACAAGTGTAATTAGACCAAAAGTATAACAGGCCAAATTTACTCAATTTCGAAGTTCAATGTCAAATTTTTGACCATTTTCCCTTTAATTAATAAGTTAGTATAGCTTTCAACAATAGACAATTTGTGATATTACTTTCTCTACATTCTAAACCAATCAGTGTTTTTGGTTTTAAGTATCTCTAATATGATGTACGTACAATTTATACTTAACAGCTTGATGGAATCATTTGTGCCGTTTGGAGGATTGTTTTCAGCGCCAGCTGCTGATCATGATATTAAAAGCTGCTCATACCAGAGTGCATCCCGCTGTCACCTCTGCAATGAGAAATGCAAACAAGAGATAAACACACTCTCAAACACTGGATTTAGCAGTGTTTCAGTTGCACATCACTGCCAATCAAGTCTGCCTTCTTGGTTGCAAATGACTGATCAACTCCGCTCTAATGGAGGACTGGATGCTATCAAGGTCTGTGTTTCTCTCAATTCTACTAGTCAACTTCTCTATTTTTCTAGTACTAGCATAATATTAGACAAAGATGGCTCTAAGGTGGGTTCTATGGTTTCAACTACACTCATTACTTTATGTATACATATGCAACAAGAAATTTAAAATGTATGCATAAAATAAGACCACACTTTTTTATTATATGAAGAAAAATTCACCTAAATAGTCGCTAACCCAACCGCTTAAACTAAAAGTGTTGGGAATAAAAACCCACAGAAATAATATTCACGATAATAAAAGCGGAATAATAATGTAGCACCAATATACGGTAATTAACAAGAATAAAAGAGTAACAACGACACCAAGATTTTTACGTGGAAAACTCTTTTAATAACGAAAAACCACGGCCCCGAGAGGAGCAACTGATATCACTATAGTAAGGAATTTTACATTTTGTAGGTCCGAGTAAAATACTTCAAAGACCACTACAACACTCAAAAGAAATAACCCTCTTTTGATATTCCCACCTCACTACAATATCGCCCATTCTCTATTTTTCTCACAGACTATTTTCTTATACCCTGTCTATGAAACCTCACTCTTTCTTTCTCTCTTTGTTGGTGTGAATAAATGAGAGTTGAAGCTCTCCTTTTATAGTCAAATCTTCACTCTCTAAAGCCTACAATATTTGACAATTTACACACATTTTTCATAATTCAACAAGGTTGGCTACCTAACCAAACCAAGTCAACAAGGTTGGCTACCAAACCAAAGAAACTTTTATTAGGCACATGCCTAATACTTCTTCAATGAGATGGACATCATCAATCTCCCCCTCCAGTCTCATTCATCTAGAGAAGGTAGCACTGTCTTCTAGTTTAAGTGCATGCCGACAAGTTCTTTACATAGCTCGAACTTGTTCCTTGGTACCACCTTGGTCAGCA